CAGGGTCTCTGGCCCATGCGTACCCCCGAGGAGAGCGCCGAAGTGTGCAAGGCTTACAACTTGGATATCGAAATTGTCAAGAAATACGTCCAATACGGTTCAGGTAAGACAACACGCTCCATTAGAAAACTCCACGTCCAGCTGCTGACAACTATCTAGTCTTCAACCTTCTTCACGCCGGTGCCTCGTATCTCCGCGTCCACCAGAACGGATTCGGTGCTGTCGGTGTCTCCCGCAAATACGGTGATCGTTCCTTCGCTCGTTATCCCATTTTCTGGGGTCTCAACAAGGTCGGCCAGCTGCCCAACCCCGATCCTACCGATACCGCCGACTGGGACAAGAACGACTTCATGAACCAGCCCAAGATCGAGGTCGACCCCGCCTACGAGGCCGGCCGTGGTGAGTTGAGACGCCAGGCCCAGGAGTGGGCTGGTCTCAACGTGGACCCTGAAGCCGAGCTCTTCGTCTTCGTCGGACGTTGGTCCCTGCAAAAGGGTGTCGATCTTATTGCCGATATCTTCCCCTGGGTTCTCGACAACTACCCTAAGGCTCAGCTCATCACCATTGGGCCCATGATTGATCTTTACGGACGCTTCGCTGCTCTCAAGCTCGCCAAGCTCATGGAACTCTACCCCGGACGTGTCTTCTCCAAGCCCGAATTCACTGCTCTCCCGCCTTACATCTTCAGCGGTGCCGAGTTTGCCCTGATCCCCTCCAGAGATGAGCCTTTCGGTTTGGTCGCTGTCGAGTTCGGCAGGAAGGGTGCCTTGGGTGTCGGTGCCCGCGTCGGTGGTCTCGGTCAAATGCCCGGTTGGTGGTACACGGTCGAATCGACCAAGGCCGCCCATCTTACGAAGCAGTTCAAGCACGCCATCAAGGATGCTCTCGCCACGGATACCAAGACCAGAGCCATGATGCGTGCCTGGTCCGCCAAGCAACGTTTCCCCGTCGCCGAGTGGCTCGAGAAGCTCGAGAAGCTTCAGCAGGGTTGTATCAGCGCTCACGCCAAGTACGGTAAGAAGGGTCTCAAGAAGGGCAATGTCCTCGTCAAGAAGACCCGTCCCGGTTCTATTCAAGAGCCTCTCCGCGGTGAAGTCGAGCTCGTCGACCGATCCCCCGCGTGGATGCGCCAGGTTTCCGACTACGATGATGATGGCACTACTCTCCACACTGGTCGCACTACTCCCGCCGGCATGCAGACTCCCGTTGGCATGCAGACTCCCATGATGTACACCAGCACTCCCGGGTCGCCTTCCATGTCACCGTCTCCCGCTTATGTCGACTCCCCGTACGGCTCTCGCGCCAACTCTCCTGGGCCTTTCGGCAGACAGATGGAACATGGTCGCAACATCTCCGATACTCACAGCCGCAACTTCTCTCTTCCCGGACAGGCTGGCCAGGATGGAGTCCACAGCCGTAATGTTTCTGGCTTCTCCATGGCCGACACTCTGCCTCTCCCGCCCCCGGGCGGCGGTCTGGGCATGCAGCAGGACAACTCTTCGAGAGCCTCCATGCTTAGTGTCGAGGATGTCGTCGGTGACAGACATGATTACAAGCTTCAGCAGGTCGATCCCTTCTTCACTGACTCTAAGGGTGAATTCTACGAGCACTTTGAGGAAAAGCTCAAGGCCCTCAACGCCGGCAACTCCATCTCTGAACTCTGCATTGAGGACTACCTCATCAAGTCCGAGAAGGAATGGTTCGATATGTACCTCGACGCCAGACTGGGTCGCTCCGCGTCCCCCTCATCGGCCAGAGGACAATCTAGATCCAGAGCCTCCTCGCCCAACGCTTCCCGCCTGAGTCTCGGCATGTTCAAGAACAAGTCCTCTTCCAAGTTGAGCTTGCCTCTCGAGCGTGGTCGCGCCAGAAAGTCCGGATTGATGAATAGCATGGCCGCCGATGACCCGAACGGTGCCTACGACAGCAGGACACCCCCCGACTCGCCCGGCTCTTACAACGCGCAATTCGATCTTCCCGAGGACTATGTCGCGCCCACGGGTGTCAGGAAGTGGCTCCAGTATCGCGTCGGTGATTGGCCCGTCTACGCGATGCTCCTGGCCCTTAACCAGGTCATCGCCACCAACTCCTACCAGGTGACCCTTCTCACCGGTGAAGTTGGCCAGACCGCCGAGAAGCTCTACATCATCGCCACCATCTACCTCGTCTCGTCCGTCTTCTGGTACGTCCTATCACGCACCATGCCTCTGCTTTACCCGCTCTCGGCACCCTACGCCGTCTACGGTATCGCCTTCCTCGTCCTCGGTTGCTCTCCCTTCGCTGGCGACAACAACACAATGGTCTGGCTCCAGAACGCCGCCACTGGTCTTTACGCCTTTGCTTCATCCTCCGGATCGCTCGCCTTCGCCTTCAACTTCGGTACCGATGGTGGTTCCACCGTTCCCAAGTGGATCCAGCGTCTTGCCATCATCCAAGGTCTCACCCAGATCTACACTCTCGGTCTTTGGGCCTGGGGTAGCTTGGTCTCCGAGGCCGAAGCCAACAGTGTCGCCAAGCCCACTCTCGCCGGCAAGCCCGCTCTCCTGGGCATCTGCCTTCCCGTCGCCATCCTCCTCTGGGCCATCGGCGCTATCCTCTACCTCGGCCTGCCCGACTTCTACCGCCAGACCCCCGGCCCCATCCCCCAGCTCTGGAAGACACTCATGAAGCGTAAGACCATTGCCTGGTACCTCATGGCCGTCTGCATCCAGAACTACTTCCTCAGCACCCTCTTCGGACGTAACTGGTTCTTCCTCTTCGCGTCCCAGCACGTGCCCGTCTGGAGCATGGTCATCCTCGCCCTCTTCTTCTTCATCATCGTCTGGGCCGTTGTCCTCTGGGGCCTGGCCAAGGCCAGCGAGAGCCACCCCTGGTTGTTCCCCATGTTCGCCGTCGGTCTCGGCGCCCCGCGCTGGGCCCAGATCTGGTGGGGTACCTCCCGCATCGGTCTCTGGATGCCATGGGCCGGAAGCGCCGTCGCCGGTGCAGTCCTCAGCCGTGTACTCTGGCTGTGGCTCGGCGTCCTCGACGGTCTCCAGGGTGCGGGTATCGGTATGATTCTCATGCTGACACTTACCCGTGTGCACGTCGCGGCGGCCTGTGTCGCCGCTCAAGTTCTGGGTTCCATCTTTACTATGTTGGCCCGCGCCACCGCGCCTAATAACGTCGGTCCGGGTCCTGTTTTCCCTGATATTAGCGAAGGATTGGGCATCGCGTTTGCCAACGCCTGGTTCTGGGTTGTGCTTTTGCTCAACCTGTTTATTTGCATTGGTTACTTCAAGTTCTTCAGAAAGGAGCAAGTTAGCAAGCCTTAAAAAGAAATAGGCTATGAAATGTTTGGGTTAGATAAGGATAGAATTTTCTTTCATTTTTCTTGAGTAGACATGAACCTCAGTAATGACCAAACTACTATGTTAATAGAGTTAATGACTTGTTATCCTATTGTCGCCATTAAATCCTTCCGTGATAAGTTCCTCGCACGCTGCGCTGGATGGCATCGAAGTAGGCGCTCAATCTTGACTACCGCGATATCCTTGCGAAATACCATACGGCCCGACGGCGTCAATTGCTGGTAAGCCGATGAAGGCAAGGACATAAGCCCCGCCGATTGGTAACAGTCATCATCAACGGCATCCGCGCCGCCCGGCTGACCGTGCCGGAGGGCCGACTATTATTTGCAAGGGTAGGCTTGGTCCGCACGGAAACGCCAACAGTCTTTTGACAACACGGCCTTCCACTCGCACGAGTAGCATGATCATTGCCGCAAACGTGCCGGATCATCGGTGCTTTCAGTGGCTCTCTCATCTAGAGCAATCTATGTTAGAAGCTTAAGCTTCCAAAAACACAGGCGCTGTAGGCGACCAAATCTCGTATCGAGTCATGCTAACCCACTGTACTACATGGTGTAATTTGACACCCGCTCAGATGATAGTAGCTCTGGAGACTACTGACTCGTTTCCACATCTCGCACAATGTCGAAGCTATATCAATACACTCTCGGTCTCTTCTGCCCCAGGAGCCTTTTGGGCTATTGAAGGCTTGAAGCTAAAATCCAACAACTCTATCCGTATTGAGAGCTTATTCTTGCGGCCATCGAAAGTCAGAATGAAGTTATCGCTCCTAGCTACAATCGCGGCGGTTGCCATCACCTCTACGGAGGCATGCGCCAAGTACAAGACTTGCTGGTAAGTAGATTGCATCACCCCTACAAATCTTCCAAGTGCCCTTTGCTGACTTTGCACTACAAAAAGGTGCGAGAGAAGCAACTTCATGTACGAGGGCAGACTGCAGGACAACATCCCCTGGGACGAGGACACCGTCAAGGCTTGCGTGGACCCCGGGAAAGTAGGATACTATGGGCAGAACTTTAAGGAGTGTCACCGATACAAGAAGTCGTTCTTCGCCTTCATTCCCTCCAAGGCCATTAACAACTGCGATTGGACCAAGGTGAGTTACACGATGATCTTGGAGGAGACAAAGTCACTGATCAATGCCACACAGAAATGCCAATCGGTTGGTGCTACGACCGGATACTGCCGCGAGAAGATTTAAATACCCCGAAGTTTGAGATAGCCATACGATATTTAATGTTTACTGCAAATGAAACTCTTAAGCATATTGGTTTTCCAGTGCAACTCTCACACAGCCTACAGGCCGGTCAGGGATGGCCCAGATCGAGGTTGCGGGTCAACAGCCATAAAGATTTATCGCACCTGCGTGCTGTAGTAGGGACAAAGATGTTGGTCACTCATATAACAACATGGACATTTGGTTCTACTAGGTACTTTGAGAACTCCAAAAGATCGACAATGCTCAATTCTGCACCTTCGTTACTACACTGAATTGCTGCAGTGCGTCAAAGCTACCGTGGAGCTCATCGGCGACGGTTTAGGCTTCCCTCCAGAGTCCTAGATAAAAGCCACACCTATAGATCGAAAGGTCTTCTTTCGCAACTTTTTCATCACTCATCGAAAGATACGAGAAAGACTCCGCAACCGGCACTACGCGGACTCGGCCTCCGAATCAGTAGGAGGGACAGGCATGACCTCCTTGAGCTTCTCCCCGCCAAAGACAGGCATCTCCGCCGCAGTAAGCACAACAAACAGCCTCGCCACCTCTGTCTCGCTCACATTTCTCCACCCGTGCATCGTGCCCCTCTGCACATATACATCTCCCCTCTTGAGGATAGCCGTCTCCCCGCTGTCCAGCACCAGCTCCAGTTCCCCCTCGACAAGCACGCCCGTGTCGAGGGTTTCGGTCCGATGCATCGGCGCGCCGGGTCCACCGGGGAGGAAATCAACGACGCGGGCGGCGAGGCCTCCGGGGATGTCGATGCCGATTTCGAGGGGCGGCTTCAAGGTAAGGTGGGTCTTGTAAGCGTCTAGATCGGCGTCTTCGGGGAGCGGAGCGGGGAGAGAGGGGGAGGTGTAGGCCAGGTAGAGGTCTGTTCCCGGGACGGATCCTTTGGGGAGTTCGGGGGCGAGGCCGGTGGTGAGGATTGCTTGGCCTGCGGCGTTGTGAGTTGTGACTATACGCCGGGGGGCCGGAAGGGGCTTGTATGATGGCGTTTGACTGGACATTTTGAGAACCACGAGTAAAATCGCAGGCTTGAAGGTTTGACCAATAGTGAGATGAAACTAGGATGTAATCGTCTGGATGGAAGTCTGAGTCTTGCCAGAAAGCGCCTTGTCAGCTCGCTTATATATACCTAGATTAGTAGGTTGATTTGTTGCTTACTGGTCTAACTCACTGACAATTGATCAGAAAACGACGTAATCGGTCGGCCGAGGAATACTTTAGAAAGACCGAGGCACCGTCAGAAAACATGCCTGAAGCGAACCCCTCAATCCAGGATCGATACACCGTCTTGCAGAACCTCCGGCCGAAACTAGCGACGGAACTACACCTCATTCGTTGTTGAGATTCCCAAGGATCGCTTCTCATCCTCTTCTGCAAGCAAAGTACGCGGAGGATCTATGCGGGGAAACTCGATTCGTCGCGTGTGCCCGACGAGGTGGTTGAAACGGCCGGAGATGGGATGGGGGGGCGTCAGCTTACCTCGTGGCAAAGATCACTTCGCATTTTGGAGGTCGAGAAGAGCTTAGATGATGGGCAGCGGGAAAGATTACGTGGTTCTGATCAGAGGAAAACAAAGCGCTTGCAATTGTGCAGAGCATAATCATGCGTTTAAGTTTATTTTCACCTCAGCCCTGCTATTCCGCCACTATCTCTCCGAGATGCAAATCATGGCTCCCTGTGAATAGCTAGCGATCAAAATCTACGGCATGTAGCATTGAACAGCTTGATGTCAGCCTACACTGGGGCGCTTCCAACCGTAGCCGCCGGATTGCTCCTGCTCTGTAGAGCGGGAACGCGAGCCTACACGCCGGGATGCAAGGTACGAGGACCAGTTGGGAGATATCTTGGAAGGCAAAGTCTCTTCGAAAGTCTTTCATAGGCTAGATTAAGTTCTGAGAAAGGTACTTCTCAAGTTCCTCAACTCACGAGGCACTTTGAACTAGGAAGATAGGCCCATAGTCTCAACTGTAGCCTGTTTACATGCCTGCGAACCTGCCAGACGCGCTTACATCCAATCCTCAAGCCTTTCTAGCACATTAGAAACGCATTGAGGAACCCTATATACCACAATGAACCCCAGGCCTCCTCGCCCGAACGCGGCAGAGAGCTACCGGGAGAGTTGCGACAACTGCGCCTAAACCAAAGTACACTGCGGAAAGGAGCAACTATGGTGTCAACGATGCATCTGACGGGGCCAAGCCGGCAGCTATAGTCCATCACAACGGATAAAAAAGCGGACTTACTATGCGGCAGGTTCCGAACCTGGAGGACGCAATGCAACTCTGTCACTCACTAATAATGAAACCACTGCTCTCCATACGCCAGGTGACGGCGGCCTGGGTTCGTGTACTGATATTGTGGGGTTGTTGACCAGAACGCAGCGCCGAGTTGTTGACACCCGATAACGCAAGCTCGTCGTAGATTTCGGGGAAAGAAGAATCCCGAGGACCCTCGTCCAGAGTACAGTGATGACTACCCTCGCGAGATGAGATGGCTCTTGGAGAATAGAACCAGTCTTGCGCCGAATGGGTGGGAGGCTTTACTTGGGGGCGAAGAGAATACCGTTGCCTATCGTATCTCGGGGGTGAATCATTTCACGATGTTGAAGAGAGGCCGGAATGCAGGTCTGATCGCTGAGTTTCATGCCAGAGCCTTTGTCGAGTTGAGTGAGTAAAATGTAGACTTAACGGTTTCCGCTTTTTGTCATCCTGCTTGGGAATTCGTTGCGTCACAGAAATCTACGAAACCTAACTTTCTCAACCCGTCATCCGTCTATGAGCCTACAGAGGACTTGATGTTTTAATAGCATGGACCGAAACAAGATGAAAATATGATCAAACACTTTGCTTTTGTAGTTATTTGTACTGGGGATAGAGGCAGCTGTGCCCCTGATCATGTACTTCATCAAATATCAACTTGAACACCACCCCGGCCTTGTCTTTTTATCTCTTCGCCTCCTTTTCCTACTTCAACAAGTGGCCACCAACAACAACACCCTCGGGCTTCTTCCAATGCACCGGCACCCCGCCCCAACTCTCCTCAGCATACTGCTGCTGCACCTTCTTGCACGTCCTCAAACCCCACTCCGTAACACCCACCATGGCACAGCTCTCGAACATGAAGGCGCAGCTGCCCTCGCCCACTTTAGCAGGCTTCAACTCAGCGTTCCTCGCACCCTCTCCACTCTCGGCGTCCGGGCCGTGGCCAGACATGGTATTATGCAGACTTGCGCCTCCTGGGACGAACCCACCCTTGCCGCCGCGCTTGGCGTCGTAGCCGCCCGTGATGAGACCCATGAACTCGGACATTGTGTTGCGGTGGTAGTAGGGGGGACGGAAGGTATCTTCGGCGACGAGCCAGCGCGGGGGGAAGATTACGAAATCGGCAATGGCGGTGCCGGGGACGCCGCTCGGGGCCGAGAGAACGGTGAAGATAGAGGGGTCCGGGTGGTCGTAGGAGATTGTGCCGATGGTGTTGAAACGGCCCAGGTCGTATTTGTACGGGTAGTAGTTGCCGTGCCAGGCGACCACGTCAAAGGGCGTGTGAGGCTGCGTGGCGGAAAAGTAGTCGTTGTTGAACTTGACCGTGATGGTGTAGTTATTATCCCCCTCGTGCGCCGTCGCGCCAAAATCCTCGTCGAAGCAGGCGACGGGCACCTGGAAGTCGCGCGCGTTGGCGAGGCCGTTTGTGCCGATGGGCCCCAGCTCGGGGAGGGTGAAGTGGCCCTGGTAGAGCTCGAGGGCGTAGCCGCGGGCCGGGCCGGAGGGGAGGTGGACCTGGTATTTCACGCCGCGGGGGATGACGGCGATCTCGAGGGGCCGGACGAGGAGCCAGCCGTGTTCTGTGCGGATGTCGAGAGTACCCTCTTGCGGGACGATGAGGAGGTCGCCGTCGGCCGAGTAGAATGCCGCCTTGGAGTCCATGCTGCGGCCCGCGGCGTAGACGTACATGCCGATGCCTTGCTTCAGAGTCGGGTCGCCCGCGCCAGCGACAAGGCGCATGCCGGCGACAAAGTCCCATTCCTTGGACTCGTCATGGTCAAAGGGGTCCCAACGGAGCTGATTGGGGATGTATTGGAGCGCGGAGGGCAGGGCACGGGTCTCTGGAGACGGAGCTGTTGTCGGGGCGTACGGGTGGTGGGCGCAGGAGGGGAGGATGCGGTAGAGCCAGGCTTGTTTGCTGTCGTGGCGTGGTGCCGTGAAGGAGGTTCCGGAGAGCTTTTCGGCGTAGAGGCCGTGGGGGGCCTTTTGTGGGGCGTTTTGGCCGATGGGAAGGGAGTCGGGGACGGCTTCGGATCTGGGGAGGAGGAGAAGGTGGAGATGTCAGCATATTTCTGGGGAAAGATTGTGGGAGAGACAGGGATGGACGGTATACCAAGACGGGGAATTGGGAAAGTGAGGTTGTAAACGTACTCTAGATGTGCGTCGAAGCCGACCTGGTAGCGGTACTTCTCCTTGAAATCAAACGTTGTGACGGGCATTGCTACGGGTTTTCGTTTGAGTGTTTGAGAGGGCAAGGCTATGAAGATGGATGAAGTCGCAAGATTTGGTGATGTTGATGGTCTTGCGCAAAAGGCTGATTGATGAAGGAGATAAGAAATTATGATACACCAATGTTTCCTTCGAGGATACACGACGTTCAAATATCACTGCCGTCCTCCCCGCCTCCTCCCCCGCGGACCTTTTCTGGATGACGTTTGGGTGAAATGCCATCCAATTCCTCGCAAAGCCGGGCGGGCAGCTTGTCTGCGCCGGTATCATATTCCGCGTTTGTGTGAGAGGGAAAGGTGCGGCAAGACGCGGCGTCTGCCGATGTTAGCCGGGGTCCGTGCTCTGCTCCCTATGAACCTTGGACCTCTCAATTCCGATTTCCGACAAGCTTACTCAGGATACCTTGGGTACCGTCAGATGTGCTTTTGAAGGAAGATACCCCCGGCCGTTGGTTCCGCTTAATCGTGCGATTCTCAAGAGCTTGCATCGGAGGCCAATTGGTTTGAGCATTGCCGAGGATGGTTCACATCCTCGCTGGAGAGGATATTACATCAAGTGAGAGTTGGCCATCATCTTCCATGTTCAAAAGCATCCCATATAGAGACGTTGACGTAGTAACAACGCTAGTTGTGAAGCATAGCACTGCCATGTTAGTGCGCTATGAGATTACCCCGCCATCCGTACCCCGTGAACAAGTGAGGGGTCTCTCCCTGATTGTTTGATGGGTTCTTCAGCATTATTGTCCTCATCTTTTGTCTGAAGAGTTCTTGATAATGATTCAAGCTGTAAGTCAACATTAGTCTACCACGGTACAAATCATTATCCAGTCAGGATCTTACGGGCTTGCGGGCTTTCACATGGAATCCACGGTAAGCCGCTACGGAGCTGCGGCGTGCAGGACCCTTGCTCCCCGGAGAGTGGGTCACGATAGCTGCAGGCCAGCCGCAATGGACTGTCATTCATATCCACTCACTCGAACTACACACTTCTCTCAACTGAGCGTCGTTTTCATTCCAAACTCGGGTCTTGACAATATTCATACTCACTCATTATTCTCAAATTCAAATGGATGGACAAGTGGAAGGCCAACGAGTCAATTGAACTGGGTACCCAAGCTATCACCGCCAGACACCCCGCTCGATCGAGCGTGAACTTCATAACCCACCTAACTATACATCTCGAAGCATAAAGCTCCAGAGCAGAGACCCTTACCCATTGACAATCATCCGACGATATCTATCGCAATATCCCATTGCGCCAAGTCGCCTATTGAGCCAAAGCGAAGCAAGCAGTTTTACCAGGAAGTATTGGACATGATCCGAAGAAGCAGAGCCAGGGAACTTTACTCCTCGCCCTCGTTCTTCTTGTTCTTCTTCTTCTTGCCACCGCCGCCGCCGCCGATCTTCTCAATTGCGGGGTTCTTCTGGAGGTGAACAACCAGGCGCGTCCAGGACTCCTCCTTGTCCCATTCAAAGCCTGCCAGGTACGGGTTGTCGAGCTCATCGTCAGAC